CCGGGCCAATGACCGAACCCAGTGGGTTGAGAAACTATACGGAAGCCAGACTTCTTCTTCTTCTTCTTCTTCTCAGGTTTCTCATGAAAGGGCTCTGGGCGTAGGAGGGACATGTACATTTTTTTATCTTCATCAGTAACTTTGGTGTGGGGATGTAGTAACCCCTCCAGAAGCTCCTTTTCTACTTCGCCTGGTAAATTTCTGGTCACGGAAAAGAGGACACAAAGTTATATTTATATGTATGTAATTTTGAAGCAAAAGGCATAGGCTTTGCGCGCAAAATCAAACAAATCTAGGGTAAGGAACCAAACAAATCAATTTCGTGCAGAGAAGAAGAAATGGAAGATGATCTACGAAACGAATAAATCAATCCGAAATCCAAGGTCGAAACGAACGGAAGAGAATTTTCCAATTGGAAAAGGGAAAATCAGATCGATTACCTGGACTGAGGCCCGCTTTCCAGGGTCGGAGGAGGCAGACACTTTCGCTTCCCACCTGAAGCTTTCACCATGCCTTCACCACACCGAGCAGTCTGTCTACAGGGACGGGACGGAAGAGATACAAAGAGAAAATCAATCGACCCTCTCCGCGCTCACGCGAATCGTGGTTGTATTTATAAAGGGATAAGATATCCAAATATGTAGTCAAAACTGAACTACTGGGCCGCCCAGGCCGACATGTTACTGTAATATTTTTACATTGATGGCCCATTACAGATGTAAATATCTATTTTATGCCAATACTCTTTTTTTAAATTAATAAAATAGCAAAGGCATCAGTTGTTTCTAAAACGATGAAATTGAATTGAACCAATTGCATCGCTTGTATTTACGTCGGTACAAAACCGATACTAAATGTATAAAACAACCGGTGTCTTTGCCCTTTTATGTACTAGTGTCTGTATTTGTTCAATGTGTAGAAATATATATTTGAGATCTCTATTATTACAACAATAAATAGTTATGAGAGCTCAATGATACCCCTTCTCCTTTTTCTATCTGCTTCCATTTTCTCATTGTTGAAAATAAGGCAAAAAAGTATTGTCGAGTCCATTTAGTTTCAAAATATACTCCGAAGTATCGGGTATCTTTAGTTTTCAAAATATACCCGAGAGTATCTTTGTCAAATCTATTTTCTGTCAATTTATCATCATCACCATCACCATCACAAGCCCATCTTCTTCTTAGCTCCTCCTTTTCATTCTTCGAACATTTTAGGTACTCCTGAGTATACTCTGAAAACTGGATGTACTCGACAGTTTTTATTAAAAAATAAGAGATACCTACTACCTAGTAGTAAGTTTTTGAATATATGGATTAAAATATTAGTTTATTTTGTTTCTAAAATAAAAGTATATATGGAGTAACTGAAAAGTAAGGCATAATCACTGTACATAATCAATTTACTATTCAATCAATGAATATAGCAACTACAAGCCAAGACATGCACTGTTCAATCAAAGACTAACATGGATATTCTCAATCCAATCAATCCTGCAAAACGCCAATCATTCCCTTCACTGTTTGCCTCGTGATGGATGAGCGGCGGGGTGTCCTCTAGCCTCTGATGTTGATTGCCCTTCTCAAGTAGCGCAACATGACCGGTCACCTTTCCTCAAAGGTTACCCGGTCATTTCTTAAGTTCAACCCATCTCTTTGGTCCTCTGGAATATCCTTCGCAACATTAAGTGGCGAAATGGCTATCGCCC